CGAGGAGCTCCATGCCTTGAGCTTAGTTGGTACTTCTGGGCACTACAGTGACAGAGGGTGCTGCTGTCCTCTGTTTTGTGCAGGCAGTGTTATCTGCACGGGGAGGGAGAGGGTATCATTGTAATAGTGGCAGAGATTTTCATCCTGGAAAGCAATGCATTAGAGCTGGGCTGTATTTTTATCCTTTCCCTTTTGTTCAGGGTTGCACAGAGCACTTTGGAATTCATAAACTGGTAATTTATTAAACAAGCCTTTGAAGAAGGGAAGTAATAGAAACTGCCATATAAATTATGGGAGCCTTTGGGATCCTATTGCTGGCAGGAGCACAGTGGCTCTGTAACCTCCAGTGCAGCTGGTGTCTGCATCGAGACACACTGAGGAGCTTCACAAAGCCACGAGGGTGGAAATGGCACCCGGGCTGCCAAAATCAAGCCAGCAGTGATGTCTTGGGAGATGGAGCCATGCTCACTGCAGAGCATCTCCTGCAGAAACAGTGTTTGCATGTCCTGAAATGGGAGGGGGGGATTCATTGGCCCTTGTAGCATCAACAGCCCCTGGCACAGAGAGGCTGTGTGGGCCTTTTTGTGGAGCCAGACCCTTTTGTTACCCCTCTTCTGCATCTTTTGCCCTGGGCAGGCAGAACTCCCACTGCTCCCAGGCTCAGCCTTGTCCTTCCCAGTGTGTGCTCTGTGGTGATGGAGCATGTGGCTGTGATGTTCTTGGACTAAGGAGGAATTACAGAATGTTTATGCATGCAGGAATCATCACGTGTGATGTGCGATCCATGGGCTGGATTTGAACCTCTCTGAAGCTCTGGGTTCAATCTCCCAGCACGAGGCTGTGCCGCAGAGCTCCAGAGGCAACAAGTGGATATATGGTGCTGGTAGGAGGTAACATTCCCTCTGTGGGACACCACCACCGGGTTGTGACCTCGCTGCTGCTCTCCATGTCCACCTGGTGAGATGTAGGTGACAGCCACACAAGGCAGCCTGTCTGTGCCCTCCTAGGCTGGGAGCAGATCCTTGCAACGCACTGCTGCAGCTCAGCTGCCTGTGCTGAGCCTGCCCGAGGTGGCATGGTAGGATCCATGGTGATGGAAGAGGAGGTTTTGGTGTCTGAAAGCCTGACCCTGCTTAACCTTCTGTGCACGATTGCTGCAGAGCAGAAACCTGTATCAGAGATGCTTTTGGAGGACCTGGGATGCAGGAGGAAGTGAAGCATCGGTGTTGTGGCCATGTGAGGGGCTGTGGAAAGCAAGAGGTAAGGGTGGTGAGGGCTGGATCCATGTGTAAGTCAGGGTCAGAGGGAGCAGCTCTCCCTGGTGGGATGGGACCATGGGCACTGCTCGGGGCTGTCCTGAGGGCCACTGCTGTGTTGGTTGCCTGTTTTTATGGCTACTGGAAACTCCTGTCTGGTTCCTCTAGCCCAGAGTACTCCATGCCCACAGATGCATGAGCTCGCTCCACATCAGCAGGGACATCCTTAACGAGAGGGAGCCACATCAATTAATACAGGATCACTGGGATTTTCCTCCTGCTGTGCAAAGGCAAAGCCAGTTTTCTGGCTCATCTGATCCAGAGTGCTGTTAGGAGGCCCAGTAGATGTGGTGGTCACCACTGAGCCCGCCATACCTCTTTACATGTGTCTTTGGTCCGGGGCAGGAGGGATGTTCATTCAAGTGCTTCCAAGCCAGAGCTCCCGGAGGGCCCTGCATGATGCTGAGCATAACTCTTGACAGGGAGCTGTGCCCTGAGCCAGCGCTCAGGTCCGCATGGAAACTGGTTTGGGGTTAAAAACAGCATTTCAGTGGATCCCGGGAGAGATGCAAGGTTTGTACCTGAGCAGCATAAATAAATGAATTAATGAATGGATTAAATGTAAATTGTGGCAGCTTTAAAATGAAAGTCATAGTTTCCAAAAGTGCTTTTAACCGGCACTTATTTCTGCGGCAATATAACTGCCAGCAAGAGCTTAATTCATTATCACCAGAAGAAAATGAAGACCCTGTAAATTTGAAGTCCAATTTAATTTCCCCAGAAAGAGCTTTTCTTTCTTTCCCTTCCCTCTCTCACTGCCTGAGGAAGGAGGATTTCCATCACTTAGAGCTGTTGTGTGCCTCCTTCAGACAGGATTTTCTCAGCCTGCCCAGCCACAGACACCCACTTGTCTGTGTATTGGGGCTTTGCACTGTGCATCAGCCCTGCAAAAGGCCAGCATTGCTTTGGAGAGTGCAGGCTGTGAATCAGAACTGGATGGGGAGGGAAGCAGAACCTCAGAGGGGAAAAAGCAGCTTGGCCCAGGTTGTCTGGAGTTCCTGGCAAAAGATAGGCAGGGACCCGAGTGCCCAAGTCCTAACCTACTGCCCACCCCACGGACATCAGCGTGGTCCCATTGAAGCAAAATCATTCAGGTTTGGGGACCTGCTGCTGTGAAGATGATGGCTTCTGGTGAGTGCTTGTTGTGGTTTAACCCAGGTCAGTACCCCAGGAGGGCAGGGATGGAGGTGATCATCTAAAAACCAGCCCCGACTCTCCATCGCCTGCAACCAGCCACCTCCTGGGCTTGGCTGATGAGTGGAGCGAGAGGAGCAGCTCAACTCTCTCTGCTCCATTAACAGTGCAGATGGCCTGTACCCAAAGCTGGGATGTGTGTGCATGTGTGTGCCTCCTTCCAGTGCTATACAAACCCAGTAATAGCATGTTTCTGCCCTCAGATGTAAAGACTGATGGAGCAAAGGGGGCAAAGGGCCTGGTACAGAGGGAAGAGCATGATGAAGCCTCTGGTCTCCATGGAGTCTTTGTTTATACTCCTCTCATCTCCCTGTCTTTTTTCCCTTCTTTTTCTGTTCTATTTTCTTTCTATGGAGTATTTTTAGCATGTAGGAAGGAGCAGTGCCCTGCTTCGCTGGATGCAGGGCATCAGGAGCAGATGGCATAGAAGCTTCTCACGCTGTGCTCCCTGTAAAAACACCTCTGTCTCAAGTCACCTTGAGGTTACTGCGGTCCTGGACTCCCCATCCTCCTCCTTCTCATCAGCCCAGACCTTCCTGGGTTCACTGCCTTATCCTCAGCTCCTGGGGCAGCTCTCAGCAGTGTGAGGCTGATGGTGGCGCCTGAACAGCGCCTTGTGCAGGTGGGTTAGATGCATTCAGAAGAGCAAAGGACAAGGCTAGTGTGCAGGAGAGATGCAGTGGCCACCACCATCCCCTTGCTCCTGCATCTCTATCCCCTCCCTGCACCCAGTAACCTCATGGTGTTACTTTGGGTAGACTAGGACACCCTGTTGAAGCTGGCATCACCACGGTGGTGGCTCCCACCTCAGTGCTGCACCAGCAAACCTCCTCACTCCTTCCCCGAAACCTTGGCAACAAAGGGAATCCCTCCGGGTATCCCAAATGGAGCAGCTGCCCCTGCTCAGCTCCTCACACGCTTTTGTTAGCCCATCCCTGTTGTGTTTAATTATAGATATTACACACTATTCTCCTGCAAAGAACGACTGCTCCTGGAGTTCATTTGAAACATGAAATCACTGGTGCAGCTTGCAGACGGGAAGCATCGCTGCTCTGACCGGTGGGGAATTAATGAGGCAGTGCAGGGCCACAGTAATTAGCGGCAGCAATAAGTGTTCTCTTGGAGCCCCACTTGCCAAGGTGCGTGTCTCTGCCACAGCAGCAGCCCCATTGTGGTGCTGAGGGTGGATGCGGCCACGGGGGCATCATGGTGTTGTGGAAACGGGTCTGTGGGACTCGGGAGGTGGATGCGTGAGAGACACCAGGGTGAAAGCTCACTGCAGGAGCCCCAGACCTGCTGTTCTTCAGCCCTCTGCATGAAAATGCAGAAAGAAGAAGGAAAAGCGTGAATGAAATAAATTGGGGCTGTTGGGATGGTACCTATGGGTCAAATCAGTTGGGGTCTGCCCAGCGTGGCTGAAATGTTCCCTTCCACCAGCAGCTCTTCTGCCCCATGAATCAACTATTCAGCGTAATATTTAAATACAATTAATTCATGCAATTTCAGCTTTTATGCTACAGTAAAATATTCATTTTCAGATACTATAAAGGTTGAGGCTACACCCATCAAAAGTTACAAAAAAAGGATAAAACTTAAAGCATTTCCTCCCGTGTACAACGCTGGATGTTGGAGAGGTGAAATGGGAGCCACGGTGATTTACTGCAGTTTGCTCCTTGCAGGCTTAGCCCCTCCACTGGATAGCAAAGGACCAGCACAGCAGAACTCCTTGTGCAGCACTGCAGGAGAGGGAGGTCCCTGGAGCAGCACCGGGATGCTCCCAGTGCCAGGATTGGGTCTCAGCACCTCTGGGAAGTCACTGGGGTAAGAGAGCTCTTTTTTCACTGGTGTGACCATCACATACAGATGAAGCTGTTTTTGTTAATACACAAAATAAAACAAGCTCCAAACCAGCCTAGAGGAGAGCTTCCCCACTCACATAACCCCCAGGCTGTTAAAAAACACTGCTTGGGTTTTGGGATCCAGGATACAAGATGCCCAGGAAAAGGCATTCCCATGCAACACCTCCCACCATGGCCCAGTGCTGCAGTGGGGATTTGCTGGGGTATTCAGCCTGTTGATTCCCATGGTCAGTGCAGGCTCACAGGGCTTAAAAAGCAAGGGCTTGATGTACACCCAGACCCATCCCGGTGCTGCCCACGGCTGGTACCCTACTCGGATGCAGTGGTGCAGGTGTGATTTAGGTGACCTGGAGACCTGAGGTACCAGCTGACCCCAGCAGGACCATGCTGTGAGCTCCTGCTGGAAGGTTTACATGGAGCACAGTCCTGGCTCACCACTAAAAAGCACTTGTTGAAGAGAAGTGGAGAGGGGAGAGTAATGATTCCAGCCCGAAGGGCAGCACAAGCTATCTCTAGACTGAACCTGGGACAATTAATACCTCTAAGATGGGCTTAATGGATTGTTTGAGATTTGGGGCTGTGAAGTACAATCGAAAGCAAAGTCTTTGACTATTGTTATAATTGTTAACAGGCTCCTTTTGAAGCCCTGTGCAAAGAAATGGATAGACTTCAGCCATCAATAATATCGCTGGAGGAGAAAATTGAAGGGATATCTGCCCAATTAAATAACCTGCAGGGCTGGAATTGAGAATCAATGTGGCATGAACGATGAGGTTTGGACTACCAACGCTGAACACTAAATCCATTGCAGCCTCTGCTTTAACAAAGAGAGAGGGATGGGGAGGAATACTGCAGCTGGGATTTCCTGGGCTGCACACACTGTGTTGAGAGGCAGGAGGTGGCTGGGGGATGGCTCAGCATCACTGTCCTGTGTGCTGGGACCCAGCCAAGGCATATGGGATCTTCAGAGATCTTCGCTGCTCAGGTGGGAACAAGGGCAGGGGCAGGGCTGGTGGTGTGGGAGGGATGCATGGGGACTGCTGGGAGACCCGTAAGTTGTTTTCCAGGTAGCTTCCTCCTTCCACTTTTGGGTGATGTGGGGAAATGGAAGCAAATTTGCTGGGAGAGGTTTGAGCATTTAAAGTGGACTTGTTGAATATGGGCAGGGTGATGAGGGGTGGAGGTGGCAAGTGGCTCTGGGGATGGGGCAGGGCATCTGCTGAGGACGAAGAGCATCTGATGTCCTATTTGCAGCAAAAAAAGTGGAGAATAGGAATAAGGTTTGGGGGAAGAACTATGGATCTTTGTATCCTCCCCCTGAGGAAAACCCACACTGGATCAATGGTGTCTGTGTGCATTTTGCAGGATGTATCACTTGCTGGCAACGCTGGGACCACCCTACTCAAGAGAGCCACCAAGGCAGAGTGGGCCTTCTGTGGAAGTACAATCCCATCATCTGGGCCCTTTCCAGCAGTGATTAAGGGTAAGAAACATCTGCTCTGTGTGGCTCATTCCTCCTCCTTTTCCTCCCATTGTCACCAAGCCATTCCCCAGCGTGATGTGGACACAGACCTCTGCCCACAGTGGGCAGGGGCACTGCTGAATCCACACTCTGCCCCTTTAATGCCTTTTGGAAGCTAAATGAATTTTGCCTTTGCCTAAGTACCCGTCACTTTAAATTAAGGTCTCTGATAGTGAAAATGATGAAGCAGCCAGGTCATTAGGCAAATTTTAATTAAAGGCTCAGATGGCCTTTACTAATAGGATGCTGCAGTTCCTTCCCAGCGTTCTCACTTTCCATCCAGAGGGTCTTTCCAAGCCCACCTGAGGATGCGTGTCCACATCGGTCCTCTTCTCAGCACCCATATGCTCCTCTGCATGGGCATCCAGCATTGAGTAGAAGCTTGGGTTATTAAGACCTTATGCAGAGAACGAAGCTGCTCCCACGTGTGTGTTCCTTTCCTCTATCCATTTGCAGTTGTTAAAAGGGGTAAGAAATTACCCCCACTTTTTCTCTGTCTGAACAGGCGCGGGTTCAACGTAGAGAGAGCATCCCTGGGCTTCTTGTAAATACAGCTTCCTGCCTAGCGTAATAAAAGGCTCAATCGACTCCTGGGTGAGCCAGGTTGGTCTCCTGCTTCCTTATGGCACAGCCAGGGAGGAGAAATACAGCCAGCAAGCAGTCCCTGGGACAGCACATGGCCCTGGCCACAGGAAAGGGGAAAACAGGAGGGAGGAGGAGAGGAAACAGGCTCTTTTCTTCCATTCTTCGCGGGTGATGGGATCAAATCTCCTCTCTTCCTGGTGTGACCAAGCCTCTCTGCCCTGCAGGTACATATGTTTTTGTGCTGGGTAATTTCACAAGTGAGATCCATCCATTAAGCTGCCGGTTCCAGTCACTCCACCCGGTGCAAAATAGCTGACAAATGGGGCTCTGACCTACTTATATGGTTTTTTCCCATCAGTGCAACACGGCTGCGGCCGGGCAGAGAACAAGGCGCGGATGCAGGAAGGTGTCTGCAGTGGGTCTGTGTCTGGAGCCTGCTTCCTTGGGGATCAGAAGAAGAGGGGACAGCTGGGCTCCTCTTCACTTTAGCTGATCCCGTGCTGCCTGCACAGAGTTACAGCACCTACTGCAATTCCTCACCCTCACCAAAATGCTGCTGGGAGGGATCCAGGACAAAAGCAGCACAAATCATCCACTTCCATGGCAGAACTTGCTGTATCCAGTCTGGAGGTGAATGATTTTCTGCAGCTGCAAGAGCATCCCTCTCAGCCCTGCAGCCCAAGGCTGCTCCAGGTGCTACTGGTTGCTCTACTGGGCTCTCCAGGGGCAGCAGGGCTGGATGGACCCATCCCTTCCCAGCCTGGGGACACAGGTTTGTGACCATGTGTGCCTCTGCTATGCTGAATTGGTTATTCCCAGCACTTGACCATTCCGTGGAGTCACACGCTGCTTGGAAATCCTCAGCAGGAGCAGTTTTATTGACAGGAAAGGCGGTTTTCTCAAGATGGAAACTTCCCACAAGAAAGTGGAGCTTTCAATCAAATGTTGCTTGGGAGGGGGGAGGGAAAGGAAAAATGTGTCACTGGGGGGGTTGGTGAAGTGAAAACATCATTGTTTCCACACGTTTGGAATGGAAAGCTTCCATTTTTCACTTCCAAGTGATTTTCATGCTGACATTTCTTTTATTCCATATCGCCAGGCAGCTCTAAGTGTTAGAAACACTTTGAGCGCCATCTCCCACCTTTCCCACCTTCCCTTCCTTTTCCTCCCTTTAAGCAATTAGAAATAGTGGAATTTCCTTCAGGCACTAGTTATTTCACTGCCTCCTTGCCTCCAGCACAGGCTAAGGGCACGTTAAGCTTTCTTTGCATCCCAAATTGCCACCAAACCTTGCCCCTTATCTACTCCTCCCACCCTTGGAAGCACAACAGCGCTGAGCTGAACCCAGCTCTTGTCCCTTTTAAGCAGCAGCATGTGAGGGTGTTCGATGGCTGGAGACTCGGTGGTGGTGACCAGCAAACAGGGGAAAGAATGAGATTTATAGAGATGATTATGCAAAGGAAGTAGTGGCCCTTTTTTCCCCCCTTTCTCCTCATCTTGTGCAAATTACCCTATTATTCTGCTCCCTTAGGATGCCTGAGTGTCCTTATTTCTTCTTTTGAGCTAAAGTCATCCATGCATTAAATTAGTTCTCTGCCTAGAAATAGCTTGATTACCTTCTCCAAGCTACAGTTAATGTGGTGTTCTCTGAGAGTTTGAAAAAGGGGGCAAAAATGGGAGTGCAAGGAAGGAGCAGGGGCAGGATGGAGCCTGGTAGAAGATGGATTTGCCTCCAGTATGAGGTGCTGTGGGGCAGGAGAGGGGACACTGGCTGTCACCTGCATAGTGTGACCGGAGGGATCAGTCCCCTATTCCCTGGAAGCAGTCACCTTTCACAAGGACCTGTGGAATGGTGGGGCTGGACTTGGTGGCCCACTCGATCCTGTCCATCTCTTCCCACAGCACTGGGTGGATAATGGTATTTAAACTCCTGGCTCGCTCCGAATTGTGTCTCGATTTCTTGTCTCTTCCATGTTGATGCTGTGTGGAGCTCTAACCAAAGGGAAGGAGGAAGACCATGGTGGGATGCCCCATCCCAGCGTCGAGGGTCAGTCAAGAAAACTGCCAGAGCTCAGGATGTCCCAGGATCCCTCAAGATCCCCGATTTTCTTCCTTACCAGAAGTTGACCCCCCTCCTGCTTCCGAGGTGGGAATCCATTGCAGAGCTCAGCATATTTGAATAGTAAAACCTCACTTCTCTTAATGCATTTGCTGTAATAACACCCTGCAGGAGCAGGCGCGCATCCCTACCCCAGCCAGGAGCAGCTCTTCAACCGAGTGTGCAGGACCACAAAATGCATTCCCTCCTCTCCTCCTTCCTCTGAGAGTGTTCCCCCATTGCTGGGGACAGCCAAGCTCCTATTCCCTTCTCCACCTACAAGCCACAGCAGATTATCTCCCTCTCATCCCTCCTTTTTAGCCTGTAAGCAGCAGGAAAGGTGAGCGCTCAGCCCTGCTCCCCTCCAAGCCCGGTGCCTCTGGGCTGGCTGCAGCCCGCACCAGCTCCTGCTGGCCATCAGGATCGTCTCTGGCTTGCACTCCCTGCTGTAACATGCTCCCTGGTCCCCTGTTAACTGCGGCTGCTTTGCTTCTCTTCTCCCTCGTTCCCTTGCTGCAAAGCTTTTCCAAAGAGGCAGCGGGGGCTGAGCCCATGGCCCAGGAGGGGTTGTGCATCTCAGATAATGCCTTAGAAGGTGTCTCCTGCTATTTTGTGCTCATTCCTTTGTACCGCCTTGACATTTGTGCTAGGGTTTGGGGGGGGGTATTACTTTTTCCCTTAATTCCCCTGACTCTCGGGCAGGTGTCTGCTCCTGGCTGTTTGCAGGAGCCCCAAGAGCTGGTCTTGGATGTCAGCTGCTCATTCAGGGCCAATTATCCCTCCTTTCCCGCTGTGTTTCCCTGTATCCTCTGCCGAGCTACATCTACAGACACGGGGCTTCATTCTTCCTCTCCTTCCCAGTTACTTTGCTTCCCACAGGCCCCTCTAAAACCCCCTTCACTGCTTTTACTGACTGCTGGAAGTCATTTGAGCAAACCCACAGTGAAGGTGCGCGGTTGCTGTGTTCTCCCAAGACCTGCACCGCATCTCATTGATGCTCTTCCCCCTCTCTGGGAGCAGACCAGTTCTCCCAGTAGCCTGGGAGAGATCCCAGTATGTGATTCTCCCATGTAGAGCTGCTAAAGGAATCACTTGCAGTTACCCAGAGCCCAGGCTGCCTGCCCAGCCCGGCTGCCATCCAAGCAATCAATTCCCATTCAGCACCGTGCCCTCCCGTCCTGCTCTCCCAAATGATGACAAATGGAGCACCACATCGATGTGGATGGAGCAGCAAGCATCCACAGGAGGAATAATCACCCATTTGCCAGACAGGACAAGGCAGGGAGAGGCTCCTCAATGCAGATCCTGGTGGAGAGGCATTAGCAGGTGATGCTCTGGGGGTCCTTGGGGCTGCCATGTCTCCAGTGTGGTTGAGGAAAGGCTCCTCAGCCAGCAGTGGGGACAGTGTAGCATTGCTGGGTTCCAAACAGTGCCTCTTCAGCTTCCAGAGCAGCAGTGGGATGAGCTGCCACAAAGCCTCCAGGTGTTTGGAGGGGATGAGGTGAGCCTGAGGTCTTCTCCATGGTCTCTGTGGGAGAAAAGCCACAACTGGAGTGGGTTTTTGCACCATCCAGCCTGCCTTCTCCATATGAATTTGCACTCGGTGTTTCTCCTGGTGTTAAAGTTTGCTCACTGTCTCACTTCAACCAAGGCACAGAAGAGCTCCTTGCCATGGATGAGGAGGCGGAAGGATTAACTCTCCAAACAGGGGTACATCAGCACAGAAAACATCTCCAGGCTGGTCCCAGCCCCTTCCTGAATTACTGGAATTGAGATAAGCAGCTTTGGGAGAATCCAGTCCATGCCAAGAGGTGGGATGATGCCTGCATGTGGCTTCAGCTTCCCTCTTTTCTTCCTTTAATTAAGAAGAAAATGTCTCCCTCCAAAGTCATTAATTCCTAATGACACAATTAGAGCCACTAAAGAGGGGTAGAGAAAACAAGATGAAAAAGGAGGGGGGGGGGGAAGAAAAGGCACAAACCAAACCCAAATCCCCAAAAAACCCTCTGGCAATTTGAGACATTTGAAGCTTGAGAGAAATTAAGGAAATAATTGCTTGGTTTGAACTTCATTCTCATTCCTGCTGAGCCCACACAAGGGGGGCAGAGTGTGGATGGAAACTGCCTTTCCAGTGCTCCTCCTTTCCATCAGAGGAAGGAGCTCAGTCTGGCTCTCATGTAATCTGATGTTCCTGCTTAGAGGCAGACCCTGAGGCAGTGTTGCACATCAGGCTCCTTTTCTGCAGGCTGCCAACTTTCCATGCAGGAAACCTGGGTTTACCACCATGATCCCATAGTCCCATTTTTCCACATCTACTTTGCCAGCTCTGGCATCTCTTATGGCCTCACCCTTACTTCTCCATCTCCCAACCATCCCATCTCCCTAGATAAGAAATCACAGCTCTTCCCTGCTGCCCTGTCCCCTGTTCTGCTGGTGCCCAGCGATGGAGCGCTGCTGCCGGCTGAGGACAAGCAGGGACAACTCTTGGTGTTCAAAGCTAAAGCTCCTTGGTTCTGAAAGGCTGGCTTAAATTGCTTGAAGACTCTCTGAGAGATAGATTAAGGGCGTAGGAAGAGGGAAGCCCAGCAGAGCTGCTGGCTGCCTGCTGAGTGCTTATTATTTCTGTCAAGTGAGTGCTTTAACTGCGTAATCTCAGATTGAAATGGATTTCAGGAAGCGGGGGAGCAGGGCCTGCTCCTGCAGAGTCTGGATTGGGCAAAGAGCAAGTTTCAGCCTCTGTTGACAGTGAAAAGCAATCTCTGACCTGGAGGTGGGATGGAGCCAGAGCCCTGGGTTTGGTAGAGGAATGGGTGAAACAGGTCACCTCAGGATGGATCTCCAAGCTCCCTACCTCATTCTCCATCCCGGCTATCGCTGGTCCTCAGGAAGTGAAGGTACCTAAAGGTGAGCTTCTGCCCACTGGTAGGCATGAGGATTTGGTAGGTAGTTCCTCTCCTCTGGGGCCCATGAAGGACAATGGGGTTTCTGTAGATCCTGCACAATCCAGCAGTGCTTTAAGCTGTGTTGCAGAGGGGAGGCTTTTCTGCTTGCTAAGAGCTTGGGCACAAGTATGCCTGCGTGGTCTCAAAGGTGGTTAGTGTTCTTGATGGGTATGCAAGAAGGGTGACCCTGCTCCTCCATGCACAGCAAGGGACTGTGTCCTGCAGCCAGCCTGGTTTCCTTGTTCCCATTTCAGTGCAGAGCAGTTTCTAGGCAGGACATGCTGGAAATATCCCGGGGAAGGACTGAGACATGTCCACCTTGCCTATGACTCCGGCCTCTTAGCAAGAGCAGGTTCCTTTCAGCATGCAGGGGGAGATGGATCCTACCCACTCACTACATCTCTGTCTCACCTCCTCACCAAGACTTCACGGCCCCAGTGCCCAATGGTGATAGAGGAGGAAGCTTCATCCTTACTGTTCTCTGGGTGACCTGTCTTGCAGGCCACAAAACTGGTGGGCAGTCTCACTCCATCTCATCAGGAGGCTGCAAAGGCATCACCCTTGTCTTGCTCCCGATTGCAGCAGTCTTAGTGCAAAGCCAAGCCCTTTGCTCTGTGCTGAGTGGCCCTTGGATAGCCAACCTTATAAATGTGGCCAGTATTTGTCATGGAGGTTCCAGTGAAGGTCTATGTGTCCAGCCGAAGGCCAAATGTTCTCCTACTGGGACATGCTCTCAGCTCCGGTTCTTACCAGCTTTCTCCTTCTGGATCTCTAAGGGGTGTGCAAAAGAAGCAGGGAAAGACAAAAAGAGGGAAGGAAAATCCAAGTTCTTATTGACTGCTTGGTCCCTGCAGAGACTATGGCGAGTGGGGATTGGGAGGGGGAAAAGCTCCTACTGCATCGCTTTGTCTTCAAGCAATTATGTGCAAGTGAGTTAATCACAGGGTCACAGAAGCCATAACCATTAATTAATTCCCAGCATGAGCTGCAAAGATGAATTATTTCCTGCAGCAAACAGACGTGGATACCAGTGTGGCGAGGAACCCAGCTCCCACCAGCTGAGCAAGGGCAGTGCCAGCAGCTCCACCACAGATCCATGGGATGGACCCCAGGCCAGCCCCTTGCATCCCTGCCAAGCTCCAGGCTGTGAGGGTAAAAGCTTTCCTGCCAAATCACTGCTTTTGAATGGCTCTGATGGGGGGGGAGAAGGGGAATGGCCACCAAAGCACTCAGTCACTCCTGCAAGTGGTAGAAGGCAAAGGCATGTGGATCTGCTCCTCACAGAGCTGTGAGCAAGGGTAGGGAGCTGGATGGGTATCCATACGGAATGCTGCGGGTATCCCTGCTGTCCGTAATCCAGATGGATTAGGCTTGGTTATAAACCAAGGAGATCATCTCAGCAGCCTTTAGATGGGAAAAGCTGGGAAGCTTGTGCCAGGGGCTGTCTGCCCTCCTGTGCCACCCCAAGTGGATACACTGCCTATGGGATCTGTTCCTGTACTGTTATAATGGGGGAGAGGAAAGAGGTCATGGAGGAGTGGATGGGAGCATCTACATTATCTATTTAATACCTATTTTCACCTGAATTGCTATTTTAATAACTATCTGCTCTTGGAGCTTTGTAGAAAGCTCCTGTTAAATCCCAGATGCAGGCACATCTCCTGGTGAAATGGCTCTAAAGCCAGCCCAGGGCAAATGAAACCGTGCTGTAAATCCTGGCATCTCCTTGAAAACTGACCTTTTTTTCTGGATGCCTTTCCCTTTGGTATTTGCCCTCATTCGCCTGCATGGAGCAGTTATTCATTCACCCTTTTGGAGAGGGTAGGAAACCCTCTGAAAATCCATCTTGGTGCAAACTCTTCCCCGAAACTCAGATCACACCAGTTCAATACAAATTATGATTTGCTTTAGGCTGTGCAAGTTGGCTGCGTGCACACAGTTAAATTAGTTTAAAGCCAGCCTCTATTTATTTAGCTAAATGGGATAGGAATACTGCTAAAACCAAACTGAAATCATCCAGATTCCTCCTGGGCTGTCAGAGACTGTTCAGTGCAGGCACGGAGCTCTCCTCACCATGGCTCATCACCTCTGGGCTTTGTATTCCTTTATTAAGCCCCTGCTCTCCCCAGTGCTGTGGTCAGCTCATCCCAAGAGAGACCGACCCTTAAAGCCTGGTAGTGAATAGACCCAGGGCATCGTGACTGCCAGGAGGATGATCCCTTCCATGGACGTGCTCCCATCATCATAGACTCACAGAAGTTAGGGTTGGAAAGGACCTTAAGGTCCACAGAGAGCTTTACCCACTCCTTGCAGGGTAGGATCAACCCCTGAGATGCTCCTCCTTGGGATGCTGCATGCAAGTGTGGCTTCTCCTGTGTGACTTCCCTGGTGGCATCACACAGGCCCAGGTGCCATCCAGCTGCTGCCCCAGAGGCTGCTGCAGCCTGAGCCCTGTCCATCACCAGGACAAGCTCTGGTCCTGGTCCATTGTCCCCATGGCCAAGCAATATAAAATACGCCACTGCAGCTCAGTGAGAAAGGAGGTTTTTACACGCTCCTTCCAATAAGCATCATTTTAGGGCCTATATAAGGTTTTTTTTTTTCTTTAAAATCAGACAATTTTGGTTGCAAAAAAAAAAAAAGCCATTAAAAAGAAGTCAAAACATTTCACTTGAAAATGATCCAAAGGGAGCTGAGTGTCCTGAAGTGAAATATCTTTATTTGAAGGCATTGGAATGAAGCATTTCAGCTCATTCCAGATGCGTTCCTGGCTGCCTCCAGCCTGCTCAAGCTGAACTCCCCTGGTTCTCCTTTTGCTGGGTGTCCACCAGTTAATGCTGTTTGATACTGGGATGAGTGATTTTCTCATTGACACAAGCATTTGCACTGATTTAACTTGGTTAATTGCAAATCATTGCTGCTGTTACCTCCTGAATGAGCTCTTCAGGAATAAATGTGAAGCCCACACAATGCCTGGCTGTTGGCAGAGCTCATGACCCAAGGCACAGACCCAAAACCCCACCAATGTGTTCATAGCAGCCTCCCAGTGTCTGAAGGGGGCTACAAGGATGCTGGGGAGGGGCTCTTCATCAGGGACTGCAGTGACAGGACAAGGGGTGATGGGTTCAAACTGAAACAGGGGAAGTTCAGGTTGGAGATAAGGCAGAAGCTCTTCCCTGTGAGGGTGCTGGGGCGCTGGCACAGGGTGCCCAGAGAAGCTGTGGCTGCCCCATCCCTGGCAGTGTTCAAGGCCAGGTTGGACACAGGGGCTTGGAGCAAGCTGCTCTAGTGGAAGGGGTTGGAGCTGGATGAGCTTTAAGGTCCTTTCATCCCAACCCGTTCTGTGATTCTGTATTCAGAGCACAACAATCAACTCCAGACACGACAGACCTAAGATAAGGGAGCCTATTACAGCGCCCATCAAGTCTTGTGCTCAATCAGACACTCCCAAGAAAGCAGGGGCATTTTGCTCTAATTTCTCATCTCCTCTCATGCATTGAGACCTGACCTTTATGAGCCCTGCCCAAGCTCACCCAGCCCAGCATCACTTTGTGGTGTTTATTCTGCTGCAGCCAGCGCCCTGCTCCTAATGATCAGTCTCTTCAGAGCCACACTAACCTCTGCCAAGAGCACTTCATGAGCCTTATTTGCTGCCATCGTACAATGTAAGGAACAGGGGGATCTCACTGTGAAATAGGGAGGTTTGGATAAGAGCTGCCTGCGGTGGTGGCTTGGATGTGAGGAGCTGGGCTGGAAGAAGGAAGGGAGCGTGGGCAGGCTGGGGAAGGAGCTGGTGGCTTTTTAGTGACTTGAAAGAAGGGGGATAAATGAACCTCGAGCCAGAGGCAGTCACATCCCCAAGCCCAGTGACCAAATGGACAGGGAGGGAAGGCTGGTGGTGCTGTGGGGAGCAAAATTCCTCCTTTGCTTGGCTGAGGGGTGAGGATGGGGATGTCCGTTCCCCAGGACTGTTGGGGTGATACCTGGGAAGCTGCAAGGAGGGATGGTTGCGTGCCTTGTGGCTCATAGGAGGGTTTGCACACCCTGTCCACTCTGAACCAGTGCAAGGCTCTGCCTTGTCCTCTGCCCCCAGTGTGCTTGGGGATCAACCCTGAAAACCCATAGAGGCTCCTGGGGCTGCAGCACCCAGGAGCCGTGAAGTCCTAGGGCCATAGGGAGACCACGGGGCAAGGGGGGATCAACCAAACAAGGTGCTGGTCCTGCAAGGAGCAATAATCCCCTGCTGAGAAAGGGGATGGGATGCTCTGAACACTGCCAGCAAGAGAGCAGAAGGGAAGCCAGGCAGCTCCATGCTTTAAAAGAGAGAGAAAATGAGCTTTTGCAATATCCTCACCCATTTACACACATAAAACTTTCTAAATGCTAAGCCAAATAAAGTCCTCTTTATCGGTGTATGACCACTTAAGGCTCTTTCAGGCAGATTTAGAATGAATTAGTGCTTTTTCTAACTACAAATAGGAGCAGAGTGAAATGTCTTACTCCCATCAACCCACATGGCTCCTGCCTTAACCCTTGCAGGGGAGGGGAGGACCCAGCATGGCCCAAGGTGCCTCCCGGTACAAGGTCTGGTGTGAAAGCTGCTGCTTCCCACGGATCCTGTTGGTTCTGGGCCAGGTTTTGCTATGGTGAATCAGCTCCGTAGCATCCCGATGCTCCCCTTAAGTACTATGCAGAGTCATGCCGCTTTTTGGAGCGTGGGGGAGCCTTCCCTGTCTCACTTTGCCATCGCCAGGACACTCGCTCCAGCGGTGAGAAAAGGCCACTGTGCCTTGTTGTAATTGCAAATTGGCCACTTGGTCAGGATGGTGCTGGGCTCTGAGCCCCAGTCCATGCCCACGGCCAGTGTGGCCCCTCCTGCTGAATTGAGATGGTGACTTGAGGACCTGGAACAAATCCAGCCGGGCAGGTTTGGGACACAGGGACAGGAGCCGTAACTCCAACACAGCACCTTTCTCCTTGTCACAGCCTGCACAAGAGGAATGATGGAGCCAGGAGAAGGCAGCTGGGAAGCGATGGGGTGATGCATGCCCTCACCTCAGGAGGTGACGTGCAGCTCCATGCACAGGTGTAGTTCTGGGTGCTTTGGGTCTTTGGTTTGGGGGCCCAAGTTTGCATCTGAGCTCTGGGAAGCTGGAGCACATCCATCGTGCTTGCACAGGATCGGTGTGGTCACGTCTCCAGGTCACCATCCCCACCATGTCCACTGTTCCCACATAGGGCAGAAAACCTCTGGGGCTGAACCCCAGGGGAGCACCCAGCCCATCAGACAGCTCAGGACCCCTGTCCCCCCCTTGTTAGCAATTAGTTGCCTGATTTAATTGCTCTCCAGTCTCGAGTCTGGGTCGGGCTGTTTGAGGAATGCTGATGTTTCACAAAGCTTTTCTGCTGTTGTTTTGCAGGGAATGGGGAAGCGGCCGTTGGAGGCTTCATGGCTAAAGTTATTTATAGAGATTAATGGCTGTGGCTCTGGGTGCCTCCAGGAACGGAGTCACCATATGCTCCTGCTTCTCAGCACACACATGTTCACCTTGCACGCACCTACGCGCTGCTGCTCACTGCTGCTTGTGGAGGTGGGTTTGGGGTGCCCAGTGAGGATAAAGTGGGGCACGGGGGCTCCAGGGGGGACCCCACTGCATGGGAAGGGTGCTGGGAGGAGAGGGGCTCCCATTGGGATGCTCCGACCTGGTCCAGTCTGGGGGTGTTTGCTTTAGGGATGCTCTCACATCTCTCCCTGTCTGATGGGGCTTGTAGGAGGGGTGACCAAGCCCCCGGTGTCGGTCCAGCCACCCTTCCTTCTTCCCCTGCCTTGCCAGGTAGTCCTGTGAGCCCTGGGAGTGTCCTCCTGACATACTCCAAACATCCCCAAGGATCCCCAAAATCCCAAGCTCACAGGTCACTATGGGGTGCCTTCCCAAACCTCATTCCCTGAATACACAGGCTGCAATGAACCTGGGCTCTCCGGGGCTTGCTGGGCACAGCACTGGTGCTTTTCAGTTGGGATCTGCTGAGATCAGCAGGAAACCAGCTTTGTGAATGGTCCCTTAGACCACTCTGCAATGGTTTCTCTCTGCTCCTTTCACTGGGACCCATCACCCATGCAATTCCTGGACAGCTGGATTCCCCATCCCAGGTTCTGTCGTTAACAGCTCTGCAAGCTGCCCAAGGAGGGAAGGGGTTTGGGTGAGCTGGCCCATGAGCCAAAAGCTCAGGGAAGCAAACAGCCTCTCCAGTTTGCATCCCATGCTTTCTCCCAGCAGGTGATGTGGGATGGTGGTGGTGAAGAAGCCACTCAGATGTTATTCCTCTTGGAGGCCATCCTTGTTGAGGCTACCTGCAGTTTCTGTGGGATGCTGGCACCCCGGATGTACGAGGCCCAGAAAGGCTGGGAAATGACACACCAGTGGCCATTAACTGCCAGGCATTCAGCACGCATCAAGCGATGGCACCCAAACCACCGCTGCCGATGGTGGAGGTGATCTGGGCTGTTTGAGAAGGTGAAGATCTGAAGCCAAATCCATCCCTGACAGGTTCACCTTCAAAAGAGGCATCACTGCTGCCCTTCTAGAGTCCTGCTGTTAATAAGGGGCCATTAGCAGAGCAGCTGCTGGAAAGGGCCTCCTGAGTCCCACCATGTGAGAGCCATATGGAGCGGGATGGGTGGGTGGAAGAGGGATGTGAGGAGCCTGTCAGCATCTGCCGAGCTGGGGTGATCTGCGAGGCATCCTCTGCCACATGGCAAGTGATAAATGGTGCTAGGAGCAGGGCTGACATCTCTGTTTGCTCCTCTTCGTTGTGTAGCTCTTGGGAATCATCATGCATTGGGCTGGGGCCTTGAGCCTCTCCCACATGTGTGTGCTCCCATGGAGCCAGTGGGAAGTTTGCCTTGAAGCATTGCTTCAGTTGGGGATTTTCAGGATGCTCTTTTGCACTAGGTTAATCTTCCACACTCGAGCAGACTCCAGTTCCCAGCGCTGACTGAGAGGAGAGCTTTCCCATTGGTGAGGAATGGATTCCTTCCCAAGTTCCTCCTCAGTACCCACCAGGATGAGAGGAGAAATGCACTGCATCTCCAGCTGGGTATGGAGGACCCTCTTCGACCCTTCACAACCCACTTGGCAGTCTGTTAACACCAACTCCACTCTCCTATGTTCATTGATTTTTGAGAGCTCCTCCTGGACCATCCTACAGGATTCAGAAGCTGTCCAGGTCTCTTTATTTATTTAATGCATTTTCTTATTAAAGACCACTCTCTTCCCAAGGCCAAAGCCAACTCTTCGAGCATTTCCTTTTCACTCAAGGCAAATGGAGCTCAGTTGGAAAGAGCCCCCAAGGCAGGAGGGAATCCCACATTCCCTGATCCCAGCTTTCCTCTGCTGCACAGTACAAAGCAATTTGCAAGTCCTCATTCACAACAAAGGGAAAGAAAGTCCAAGAGCTGAGTTTAGATTCACTTTCTCCTTGATAGAAGGCAGTGGCTTGTGGCTTTTGTTCATCTTCAGCCCCTGTTTCAATGAACAAAACACCACACATGAGCTGGTTGAATTCCATCAAGCAGGAAAGCAGCAGTGGTAGGAGACCAGTCAGATGCCTTTTTGTGCCCATCAAAGGGAGATTGGTGCATAAACAACAGGTAGGGATGTCTTAGCATCACCTTCTCTTGTTGCTCTTTCACATGCTCCTCTGAGCATCATGCCGGTCCCCACTGCTCCAAGAGCATGAGGCCCCATGCCTCAGCTCCAAGTTGAGACCTGGCTGCTGGGAGCTGTCCCAGACCCTTCCATGCTGCAGGAGCTCCATTTTCTCCCAGGAAAAACAGAACTCCCAAAGAGGTTTTGTGCAAAACAAGAATCTTTTCTTCCCTCTCCTAACAAGAGCCACAAGTTTGGGTTTTACTGGTGGGTCTGGAGAGGCTTTCTGTGGAAAGGGGTGAATGGAGACCTTTAACTCACCTCCCACTTCCATCCCTATTTTCCTGATGTTAAAATAACCCAGTTCTGGTCTCCATGCAAGCCTCATCCTGCATCGCATTGCTGCTAACAACAGGATCCAGCTATTGTCACCTTGCCCTGGGATGGCTTCCATGGGCTCAGCATGATGTTGAAGGCAAGGAATTGGGAGGCTTATGGGGAATGGGAGGAGTGCGGAGGGTAAGAGAGGAGCCCAAATGAAGTCCAGCCCCACTCGGTCCCTCCACAGCTGCTTGGACCATCTGGAGGGCGGCAGTGTCCTCTCACTGATGGGGCATCAGTGCAGCGATGGCATCCCTGCAGTGTGCAAATGAAGGGTGCAATTGGGTGCATCAGTCATCAGTGCAACACAAAGGGACTCGGGCCATGGCTAGCTGCCTCCCTCCATAGACGTGGGGCACAGCTCTGTTCATGCTCCCAAAGAGCCCAAACTCTTGAGGTCACTTAGTGAGGAATGGTCCTGGCTCCCAGCCTGTCCCGGTGACCTTGTGCCTTGTCCCAGTGCTCCAGGCTGTCTGCAGCATCCCAGCTCCCTGTGAGCCAGCCCAGCCATGGCAACCAGCAAAGATCTCAGCTGCTCTCTGCTCCCCGACCCCACCACAGCCCCGGGACATTGTGCTCATGGGGACTCGCCACCCCGCAGTGACCCTTTCTCCATCCATCACCCCTGCGTTTCCTGCTCCCCTTCTCATCCCCCGCCACATCTGAGCCATCAGAACAATTTCTCTGTGCTTTATCTTCGCAGCCCTGGGAGGCAAAATGCCTGAAACCCCATGACTGCATCTCAACTGATGTGTTTCTCACTGGTGGTTGAGGAAAAAGGGCTGGGGCTTGTAGCTGTGATGAGTAAGTAGCGGTGAAGGATCCAATAACAACGAGCAAAAAGGGGATCTAAGGGAGGTGATGGATCAAGACTTTGCCTTGGCTGACTGCTCATGCAAACTGCACCAAGTGCTGTGTGCCATGGTATGGCAGGAGATGGGACTTTTGTGCCCAAACCCTGGGCAGAGACAGCTTTCCTTGGGGAAACAATCCTTTTTACACAGCTCAGAGGAAAAGCAGATTCCCACCAGCCTCATTGACTGCTTTTTCCCGTCTCCAATACATTATTCCTTCTGAAAAGCCATTCTTTTTCCACTTCATCCACCAAGCTTTGTTTGCTGTTACAGGGCGATAGTCCCTTCAGTTTTGCTTTTTAACCAATTTCTCCTCTGAAACTTAAACATATGATTTTTAGCTCATGGAGCCATGACACCTGGTACCAGACACCAATCTGTGCTTGCGTGGCTCGTGGCCAGCAGCTCTCTTCCTTGCCAAGGGTTACATCTGCATCCAAGGAATCGCACCCCCGGATGACAGCTCAGGATGCTCTTTGCCTCTTGTAGTCCTGCACGGGGTAGTCTGGTGCTGGCACCAAGGTGTAATGGGAACAGCACCCCAGAAGTTGCTCTGGGAGATGGGGTGTCCTTCTTTATCCCTTTGCACTGAGCTTGTAGCTGCAGATGGGCCCAGCTCAGAGGACTGATGGACTCACAGCTCCTGGGCTAACATAAGCCCGTATGCCTGAGCTAACACAAGCCCAGTCCCTCACTTTCCCAGCCACACCAGAAAGTTTCCTCCTTGCGGTGTTTTGCCTTTCTAGAACTGATGCAACCTGAGTCACCATTCCTATCTTCTCGTGGTCCTAATTCTGCATCCTCATGTGATGCGGGGATGAGCTCTTCCTCTGTACTGACTGCCTGAGAGCCAGATCTGGTGGGAGATGAACAGTTTTCTGTCCCCAAATCCCATGTACCTCATAGCTCGTTGTAGGAACGAGCCTCAGATCCTCTCCCTGCTGCTGGTACCAGAGCAGAATCCCTGCCCTGAGCACCAGCAGCCTGCTTGCTCAGCTGGGGAGCTGGGGACCAGCTCAGCCACAGGGGCAGACCCTGGGCTCCTGTGGCTGAAATCAGAGTCCTCCTCTGTGCCATGCGCATCCTTGGGGAGTGTCTTTGCTTCTCCCACCTTGGAACAGGGCTCAGAAATTGGGTGCCCCAGGATGAGAACACCTCCTGCAGGAGCCCAGGGCAAGGGATGGAGCCGATGAAGCACTCGGGTGTGCTCAGGAGCCTTTTCCCTTTCCTTTGCCCTAAACCCCAGGCTGGGTCATCACAAGATTTATCAAAGCTCCCAGTGATCTCCTCCAGGGCTTTGGAGGGTGCTCACTGGAGCAGATGCTCTGGATTCAGGGATGTTTCTGCCTCATCTCCATTGCTAAGCCCCACAGAAACCCTTCCTCTGATTTATTGTCGCACTGTCACCGCTTGTCCCCGCTCCAGATCAGAGATCAGAGGCTGAAGCCAGAGACCACCAGTTCCTCCCTGAGCCGGGCTTCATATTCCCCAAACCACAGGAAGGGTTTCTCCTCTCCCTAAGTCTAGTGCAAAGCCAGGACATGCCATAATATAAAGGGAGAAGCAAAGGCAGTTGTTAAAATCACTGCACTCATGAGGAAAACCGGTCCTGTAAGAACAGGGCTGGGCTGAGCCTCACCTGCAGCCTACCTGGTGATGGGCTGGGGCAGGATCAGGCCCTGCTGGCAGCTCCCTATAAGAGGGTTC